TCAATGAATGGTTTCTAACTTGGCGGATCTGTGCATGGGCATTAGATATGCTCTCAAAAGCAATGACAGGTATACCTTACAGCTGTGGACAATAAAAATGTTTCGCCGTATATAATGACCTTTTAGTCCGGAAGCATTTTTTTGTCCACGACTTTTTATTTCATTGTCAAAGTTTAACCAAAGTGAAAAAATTCCAATTTGTTTCATACTGTGTTATGACCTATGACATATTTACCTCATACGGCTCTTTTTTTAGATTTGATTGACTAATATCATGAAATTCATATGAATTGAACTGATGGAAATAAACTATTTTAGTCGCATCAAGAATAGGGTTAAAGCAGTAAAACCATACACATCTGAATATACGTATTTTTTGTATCTTACATTTTGTACAAACTAGTAACCGGTGTAACGTCCATTTTATAATTCCGGACATTATTTACATGGCAATGGTCATTTATATCTCTGGAATGTCCGACTGACAAATTTACAGAAAATTAAGGTACACTTAATTAATTTAAAGTATAGAGGGTGAATCTTAATTAACGGACAGGGCAGTTGCTTGCCTCTTTACTAAGTTGCTTTGTTCAGGAGCTAGATGATGAGCTACATTTTAATTTTTTCAAAATAATTTTAAAATGCTTTGTTCATTTTAAATGAAATTTGGTATGCTAGTAGTGTACAGATGTCACTTTTTGATGAAGTAATCGAATATATTTTCAAAAATTGCTTTGAAATATTCTTAAAATTAGCTAAGTTTTCCCACTGCTCAAATTACACTAAGGTATTCTCCCTCTGTAGTGGAAAAATTTCTCTTTTGTTTAGTAAGAGATCTGGGTAGAAAAAATATAACCTTTTCCCCATTATCAATCTGCTGAGTTAAAACAGCACCGATGCCATAACCCGAGGCATCAGGTTGCAAAACAAATGGTCGGGAGAAATCCGGGCACGCTAAAATAAGAGCTGAAATAAGCTTATTACGATCACAATCATCTGTTCACTTAAAATGAGAATTTTTACAAGTTAATCGAGTCAGGGGAGCGACAATAGAAGAAAAATCGGGCACTAATCTCCGGTATCAACTAGCCATACCTAAAAAAACGTCTAACCTCAGTTGTATTTGTAGGAATTTTCACATTTAGAATAGCTTCAACCTTTTCGGGATCTACATGTAGACCATTTGCATCCACAATAAAATCTAGGTATTTGAAAGAGGGATGACAAAACTTGCACTTTTCCTGACTAACCCTTAGTCCAACTGCGTATAAAACGATCAAACACTTGGGACAAAATCGTCATATGAGTGCCGAATTCAGGTGAAATAATAATGATATCATCCAAATATACAAACACATAGGGTTCCAATTCTGGACCAGGGACAGTATCAATAAGTCATTGCCATGTTGCAGGGGTATTAGAAAAACCAAAAGGCATTATTTTAAAATGATATAATCCCCGACCACTCGAGACAGTGATTGTAGTTAATTCTCTTCAAGTCCTTTGACGGGAACCTGCCAATAAGCGGACTTAATATCCATAGAACTTAAATATTTAGCATCACGTAAACGATCTAGGATTGCAGAAATATAAAGTAGCGGATAGGCATCCTTCTTAGTTGATAATCGATAATCGCCATCACGTTTCGGAACTAATAAAATGGGAGATAACCAGGAACTTTTAGACGGCTGAATTATATCTTGTTCCAACATGCTTTTATCTTCTTCATCGATTATTTTCTGTTTAAAGGGCCAAACGGGATAGTATCTCAGTTTAATAGGACGAGTGTCGGTAGTAAGGGTAGTATAACCTAAACTTCTCCACAATAATTTAATTTTTTTTCCAGAAGATTATTTAAAATATTTCTCTAAGCAAGAGTCGAAAGAAGGTGTTGGCAACAACAGAGCAAAATGCCAAACATCTCTGTTATGATCTGGACCTATATCCATAACAGTCCAGAAATCAATGCCTGAAATTAGAGTGTGTCTAAGTTCAGGGACAACTAAAATATCTACAACGTGAACTTTTCCCATTATTGATACAGGAGTATGGAAAATGCCTAAAACAGAACAGCTTTGACCGTTGGCCACTGCGCAACTACTAGAAGTATTTCGATCTAATTTTAAACATGTTGTTGATGTTTACAATAAGATAAGTTACTAGTTACAGTCGATTATTTTGATTTCAGTTCAGTTGAAATAAATGTTTTCAAAAACAAGTCATACTATTGAAGCAATTTATCCAATTAAATTAACAAGTAACAGCTGTATGAAAAGGACTTTTTGTTCTAGAAAAAAAAGTATTTTTCGCACAAAATGTTTGAGTTATTTGGTTGTCAACTTTATCGCCATCTAATGGCTAAACAAAGCAACTTGGTATAGAGATAAGTGTTAAAACACCATATTTTAGAATTCCCGACATGCATCTGTCTGTCGGTTCGAATACGAATCACTCTGTATACAGCGTGTACAGGTACGGTTGAAAAGAGGGAAAAATTTTAATTTTTCATTTTATAAAATAGTTATTCTTGTTAAAAAACTTTTGGTTCTATGCATAAATCCAAGAAAGTAGTATTAAGTGGACCACTTATACAGGGTATCCTCGACAAAGAAATTATTTGAAATGTAGTAGTAGATTTTATGCTTAAACTCAATATACTATATTATATAAACAGCACCAATCCATTTCCGACATTCATCTATACGGGGTGTTCTTAAATTGTCTAAAGGGTAAGGGTCAAAAAACAAAAAATGTTTAAGTTAAAATTTTCTAATTTTTTGAAACCATCGTACATGGAAAAGAATCGCTATGCTTGATTCATGAATAGATTTATTAAGATATTCTGTATTAGCATATCTACTATAACGTAACCTTGAATTAAGTAAATTAAAAGTTTAATTTTCTAAGTGGAGATATTTTATTTAGCTCAAGGTTTTGATTTTCTCGGATTGTACTGAAATCATCTACTTAAGTATAAATAATATAGAATACATTTTGTCTGTATATGAATAAAAAGTAATTTGTAGCATACTTTTATTTTTTTTAATTATGTAGGTTTTCAGAAGCAAAACAATATTTTCTACTTAGTACTTTATATACGAACATTTTTTGTTTTTGAGAAAACATTCACAATAAAAAATTATTATTAATTGAGCCTAATTTGAAGATACTCGGCCTACTTCGATATGTTTTGATTTTATAAATTACCGAATTGCAAAATAAAAGCTCATTGCCAACAAATTTGGGATTTTGGAAGACAGTTTAATTTTCAACAACTTCTATTACAATTTTTCTCGATTTCTTACAGAAAAATGGCATTTACACAATATGCAGAAAATCAACGTAGGCCGGTTGTTGTTAAAATTTAGCTTTCAAAATTACTTTTCTTAATGAAATGTTTTGATATCTTATATGGAAAATCTTATACGATCTACCTACACAGAATTTTTTTGTTCATGTCAAGATCTATTTATTATATTCAGCCCTACAGTAAAAAAGTTGAAACTAAATTCTTCTTCTTGCAAGGTTTTCAATAAAAATTGACTTTTCAGATTTGGGGAAATCTTGTATGCACTAAGAACATTTGGATACAAAACCTTGAAATTAAAATTGTTTGAAATATATTTCAAGTTTACTTTTGGCAACTTCACATTCTTAATATCGCTAATACTAGAATTATTTATAAAATTATTTATTAAATGAAGTGATCTATTGTTTAGCTGTATTTCGCTATATTCATAGAACATAGGGCCCATTTTCAGTAATTAATAAATAAATACGTTACAAATTATTTTCTAACCAAGCAAAATATTACTAATCATTTCTTAAGAAGGGTCAGCCTGTATATTTTGGCCTACATTTTTCTACCTTTGAACACAAGCAAAATATTTTTTTAACAAAAAGAGTGTCAGCAAAATCCACTTGTTTCTGAGACTTTGACAAAGGCGACAGGAAATATCCTAAAAATATTCTAAAAATATCCAAAAACTCGTCATGAAAAATGAAAATTAGTATCACTTTCAGTTTTTCAAAAATTTTCGAAAATCACCCTTATTTAGGGGTTGAAAAGATAAAAAAGTGAACAAATTAAGAATCATCAACAGTTGTAAAACCCCAAATATTTCTATGTTGTTATCAAAATAATATTTTTTCGCATTATCTACAATTTTTGTATATTTGGGGGATGATTTTACCCCTTGAGAGGGATGATTGATGGGGGTATGGGAGTACTTGTGTATAAATTATTCTAATGAATGTATTTGGAAACATAATTTTTTTCATGCATTATAATGTATTATAATTTTATGTACTTTGAAGACGATGGGTCAACTTAGGGGTGGTTTTACCCTCATTTAGGGGCATCTTCCTTCGGATCTAGTGATTGTGGGTTATTAACGGTTCAATTATCATGTATAAAAGAAAAATAAAAATAAATTGTAACCTTTAATATATTTTTCGCATTTTTAGGCGTTTAGGGGGTGATTTCACCCCTTTAGGGATATTATGGGTTGATTTTCAATCCGGACAAGACCGTATCAAATACGAAATTAGACATTTTCACGTTCATAATATTATTTTGATAACATAGAAATATTTTTGGTTTAACAACTGTTGATGATTCTTAATTTGTTCACTTTTTTGTCTTTTCAACCCCTAAATAAGAGTGATTTTCGAAAATTTTCGAAAAACTGAAAGTGATGCTCATTTGAATTTTACATGACGAGTATATGGATATTTTTAGAATATTTTTCGGATTTTCCCTGTCGCGTCTGTCAAAGTCTCAAAAACAGGCGGAAAAATGGCTTTTTTTGCGGTCACTCTTTATTTTTTGCTCATAAAATGAAAACTAACGACGTTTTCCATCTTTTCAACACCATCCTCGGACCTACTATACGTCACAAGAAATCATTGTACTACCAGTGACACATCCGACCTTGAATCTCTCAAAAAACATCGAATAAAAGCGCGTCCGTCCTCGCGCTCCACGCGATCTGTCGCACTCAAATCTTGCTGCAGACGTGGTCGCTGCCGTTGCCGAGGAGGGTGACTGACGTCTCCTGGGCGACGGCGGGATCCAGGCGGCGGTTGATGGCGACGTTTCGACTCTTGCGGCTTATCGTCGACTGGTTGCGCTTCATGGATACCAGGGACATGGACGTGGCGTGCTGGGCTTGGCAAGTGTTGCAGCGGGACCTCTTTGGCTTGATGCAGAGCAGGTATCTAGAACAAAGAAGAAATATTGTCATCGGAAATGTACCTATTCAACAAGAACAGAATGATGAAACAGAATACATACTAATCTGAAATCATTATTATTTTTTTAATCAAATATATAGTCGATAGTTTTTTTAACTGCACTTAAACTTTTGTCTACGCCATTACTGGGCAGCAGACAAACTCAGTCATATCAGCACGTATCAGCGTTCTCCGTTGATACTTTTTTGAACCAAATATACCGGGTGTCTCATTTTAAAAAATACACGTGAATATCTCTTAAGTTAAGGGCTTAATGAAACATTTTTTCAAATAAAAGTTGTAGGATTTTGAGGTCATTTCAAGGTCCAGTTGATTTTTTCAAATTAATTTTTCAAATAGAAACCAGTATCTTTCAGACCAAAATAGGAAGTGCGGAGAATTTGGCTTCCGGATATAACCTTGATCATGACCTTTAGTTTCAAAAGTCATTTGAAGGTCATTCTAGTATTTTGCAGGCAAAACTTTAATCTTGTTAAGATATTTTTTTTTGATATGTCGGGCTCGCCATAATTTTCCAGAATACCCATTAACCCTTTGGATCCAATATGTGGAATACTCGGCTCGACCTTGAGTTTTAATGTAGGTTGAAGCATTTTCATAGTGTTAATCCATATGAATATTAAAAATGTTTACCAAAAATTGGTCGGCCATATTGGATTTGAATAATTTCAAATTCTGACTACATATTCACGATCAGCTCTCTTGAAATCCCCCGAGTCGGCAAAACGGAAATGAATTTTGCAACTAAATACTAAAATGACCTTCAAATGCCCTTGAAGGTATGGTCAAGGTCATAGTCGGACGTAAAATTTTCTGCTCATCATTTCTGGTGTCAAAAATATGTGTTTCCATTTGAAAAAATCAACTTGACTTTGAAGGTTATGGTCAAGATCGCCATTAGATGTCCGCCTCAAAACCCTACAACTTTTATTTGAAAATTTTTTTCATTAAGCCCTTAACTTAAGAGATATTCACGTATATTTTTTAAAATGGGACACTCGGTATGATACAATGGAAAATAATTGTATAAAAACAGATTGCCTTGGTATGACTGAAGTGTGTTACTTTAAAGTCACCATATTTTTTTATGTCAATGCAGATGAAACGCCAAACATTAGATAAAACAATTTTCCAGTGTTTCTATAAAAACTAACTAAATAAATGCTGTCGTTATTAAAAGATTTGCTACACATAGGTTTTTAGCAACGAGTTTAAATGTAGAGTTGTTCATTTGCCACAAATCTGAAGCGTAATGTTACGTATTCATTTACGAAAGACTATTATTATTACCCACTACAAATATGAAGCCACAGCTAAATTACATATATATGGAACCATTCGCATTGTATGCAGAATATTGTACATGCCTTTGTATTTACATTTCCAGGAAAACGTAGAGCGGAACAGTATATAAATGTGAAGTATATGCATATATAAATGTGAAGTATACGTAGCCAAAGGTACATGATTGCTTTGAACCTTGTTAAATAAATTCCTTTTTAACTAGGTAGGTTTTACAGATGATGTAGCATTTGTATTTTTCAAAGTCAAGACTTATGTCGTAATAATTCTGCGAAATGTTAGAAATCGCCTTAAATTCATTTCTATTTGTTATTGGACATCATTAGCGTTACATAAAATAGTTGTAGGTTGAATCGAGACAGCAATATACACTGAAAGCCTTGTTTAATTAGATTTTTTAATACGATTTTAATTATAAAACTTTTAATATGTACACAATTTGTGTTTAAAACTCTCATATTTAACCCATCAATGCTACCCTATAACACTGAAAAATAATAGATTTGCTTATTAGTGACATATTCAGCATTATAGTCCGGGTGTCTAAAAAGTCTGGAAACACCTGAATAATTTCCCAGGCAAATTATTTTTGAAAAATGTTAAGGTCATTCTTGTAGTAACTTTTGACGAGGAATTCAATGGAGCGCAGACTATGGCATTTGAAGAGAGAGTTCATAGCATGCAAAGTAATATTTTAATAGGTACATAAAAAAATACATTAAGAATTATATTTCTTTCACTGGTTATTTATGCAAACTGTTTTTTTATTTTATACCTACCAACATATTAAGAATGTATACTTTTGTTAAAAATATCTGAAGCGGTTTAGAAATTAAAAATTTTAAACTGATTTTTTTTATATTTTGGCCTTAAGACCTTATGTTTATAGACATATACACATATACACATATATACATATGCGAATATTAAAGGACTAATATTATCATCGATATATATATTTGTGAATTTTGGTGTATTTTTGTTAATTCAGAAAAATCAACTTATTTCAATGAAATATGGTCCAACATCGGCTCTATCATATGCTGTTTGTATTTGTCAAAGCTTTGCCAACGAGTATAATATGTAAATGTACCCTTTGTGGCAATCACACTAATATATGCTTCTGCTGTATCATACTATTATGAAATGGAAAAGTATTTCCACATATTAGAATTCTGAATGACAAGATGAGAGACAATGTTGAATTAGTTGCAAATGATAGTATTAATAGGTATATGGATATCTGAGAATATAATTTTTTTAAGTCTTTTAAAATTAATTAAATTTGTCAAAGTTGAAGATGATTCTGATGCGGAAAATAATTAAGGATAATTTAGTGGTATATACACTGTCAAAAAATTCACTCAATTTCACTCAATTTTACTCAATAATGTATCAATTTCTGTACACACCCGATTGAGTGAAATATTCACTCTATTAGTATGAATACAACTATAGTCTGTTTAGAAATGAAAGAGAGTAATAAAAGCTTATTATGTATGCAAATCGTACATAAATGTAGTACTGGTGCTTATATTCAATATTTTTATATTATGTATTTTCGGTATAGGGGAGGTGTACTTTTAAAAAAACTTTGTGTGACCGGGTTGTACTAAATTGTAGCAGGTAGCTAAAATTTAATCCCCGACAATCCGTCTTTGTCTATGCCGCGCCAATTTCTGGGTCCATTTCTTTTATAAGTAAACAATATAAAAACAGCATTTCAAAACATGAGGCTACTTTAAGCATCATAACCGGGTTAAGAGGGTTTTTAGTAATTCAAATAAAATTATTCAATATTATTATCAAAATATTTATTTAAATTTAATGAATAGACTTTTATTCCACACAAAAATATATGTATTTTGAAAATTCAAATTATGGTGAGTAAATGTAGTGTTGTATAAATGTACAATAAAGAAAATAAAAAAGTAGGTATATTAAAATTCATCCTCTGAATATTCTGATGAATTATCTTCGTCTCCTAGATTGATAACAAAATTTTCACGTCACTTAATTTGAACGTCGTATTATTTCGCGCTACATCTCCTGTTACCTGCGCCCAGACTAATTCGATTGGGTTAAGATCACAGTGATAAGGTGGTAACCGTAGTACCGTTATTTGTTGGTAGGATTTTGGTGTTTCAATGCATTAAATACATTTAATATAATAATCTTCTCATTCTGAGATAGCGCACATCTTTTCACGCGTTTAGCAGGTACGTAATCTGATAAGCTCGACATTTTACCCAAACAATATTATATCCACTGGCACAATAGTCACTAAACACAAGTCGAATTTTACTCTACTGCACTAGCACGTCTTCGTATATTCAGTTCTAAGACTGGATTGATCTGTCACAATACACTGGCTCCTGCCCTATGATGTATCCAGTAAAATATACTAATATACACCCATTACCTGTTAGCATTAGTGTTACCCGATAATTACCTGAAACGAAATATTACCACGCCCATGGCCGGTTCTTATCTCGGGGTTTTATTACTCTCTTTAATTTCCAAACAGACTATAACAGTTTATGAGTGAAACTATTGCAACAGTAATGAGTTAATTTTACTCAAATTCGTGTTTCTGCTATCAAGTGAGTGACTTTTAACTCTATCCTGAGCATGTAAACCCAATTAAGAGTTGACTTTTTCTCTAAATTTAACTATTATTGAGTAATTTTTTACTCAAACTTGGTTTATATTCTCTTTAAATTTTAATTTAAATATCATTGAAACTACAATGTTCATGTTGCCACTGTGGTTTTAGAGACAATATTTTAGGTCTCCATTAAAAGAATACGACATACACCACACCACGAGATGGTCTAATGGGGACGATGGGAATAGCCAAAGGCAACACATAACAACCATAGAATAAGGTCATTTACTTCGATTTAAGTACAGGTGAACGAAATACGAGTTTATCTGGAGAATTTATTTAACGGGTATATATTTAATATTTGAGTGAAAATAGTCAGTTTCCGTTCCAATATTATCAGAAATGAGTAAAATTATCAAAATGCTCAATATTGAGTGAAAATGCACTCAATTATTTCACTCAATGGATTCAATCCGTACCTTTCACTCACACGGATTTTTTCAGCTTGTCCCAAGAATACGTGGCAAAATTTTAACTAATTACGTATCAATATTTTTTTCGAGACCTTGGTTTCTAAGGTAATATATATTTCTTTATTTTAAATTTTTGGAGCATAAATCAGTATGTTTGACTGAGTTAATAATAAACAAAAAAAATACAAAGAATGGAAACAAATTAGTTCTATTATTTAGTATTTAAGCAGGCAAAAAGTGTTAAGGTAAATCATTCCATAAAAAATTTGTATATGTTACTTCGATATTTTTTTAACAACTCGTTAGCGATACTTTTATGGATTCACAATAAAGCGCAACACCGTGTGCATTCCAAGAAAATATTAGAAGTTGTTGCTTTCGATGAATTATATAGGTGCTTACTTCTGGGATATCCTGTATAAAAAATCCAATGAAATTGTACCTCTAAATCAAAAATAAACATAATATTTGTTTTCTTTTACGTATCTTAACAGTAATATTTTTACAAGACTAGATAATACAGCGACCTATGAGGAAAAACAAGTGTAATGCAATTGAATTGCTTTGATGTGTTGTACATG